AGCTTAATCATATAACACACCTCAAAACCCATCTTCTCAAGAATATCATCAGACTCACTATCTCAACTCATGCTTTCATAGGGTTCACATTTACCACCAATTCAGATCACCATATTAGGGGGTCATGCCCGGGTATGTGAGTTAAAACTCAACACTCAATTCATCCCTGGCCTCTATAATTACCAGGGGTCAACATGAGTTTAGCACCTGTTTACTACCATCTCAATAAAAGACAAAGAGGCCTCAAAAACGTCCTAGAAGGAATGTACAGAAAACATGTGAGACCAACTCAATATTTCTCTTGTGCAAGAGAAAATAGAAATGAAATTAAAATAGGACAAAGTTCAGATGCCTCCCTGTCTGATAACTCTATTGCCAAAACAATTGATGTTGCACTAGCTCTTAAGATTATTGGCGGCAGCACCAAAATTCTCCAAGATCTAGCAGATCTTCCACCTCCTCTATAATGCTAGGCAAACCCTGTTGACAGCAACACCTGCAAAGAACGGTAAATCCGAGTCGTATCTTACAGACACTGTCCTTAAGAGCTATTCCGCAACTACCGGCAAAGCAAGAAGCGGCACTCCCCAAGATTAAACAGATTCTTCCTGTAAGAACAGGGTGAGCAGAACAGCAAAAGGTAAAAGAACTCAGTAAGGCAGAACACCAGAGGAGGGAAGAGAGTTGCCAGAAAGCTCAGAGCACGGCGGTCCCCCTTTGAACTTCCGTCTCATGCCCCTTTTATAGGCTACGGATCACAATATCATTGGGCACATTTAAACGCACTTAATGATAATTAACTCATAATTAAATGAGCGGTTTCAAGTAGTAATTAACTTATTTAATGACTATTTAAGGAGAATAAAGTCTTCGGTTACGAACATTGAAGAGGCATAATTATAATTAAAATTTAGATAGATATTTCCAATAAAGTACCCAGTACCGCATTTGACTCGTGCACAAGGGGATGAGGGGAAATTGCCGGATTTGTCTCCGGTGGCCCATTGTGCGCGTAAGTCCACTCCTCCTCTTAGCCCATTTGGTAGCCCAAGACCACTTATTACTTGGACCCTCACAATCCCAAGCAATGTGGGACTCTTCCTTTGACACACCCATACATAATATTTACAACAGAAGGTAGTCATTACCACTTCAAGAACTTTAATTGCATTTAAAATAACTCATTATATAAGGCAAGAGCACATCCATACATTCTTATATTCCATCAAAACACTAATATTATACTGTATCTAAGAGATGACATCCCAAATAAATGCTTATCAAATCACACATCTTCACAAATTGGTACATGAGGAGCCAAGACACAAATGCTAACAAGTTTTACATTCATTTTAACATAAAAAATTATGAAATTATTATAATAATAACTTAAAATTTCTCGCTATGAACCTCAAGACTCTGACAACAGTTCCACTTCAACACCGTTGTTTCATTTGTATGACTTGAGACATAGAATTTTTCATATATATCGTAACATAATCATTATATATTATATTATGTTCATTGAAATAATTGAAAATTACTTTTCATTTAATGATGTGCTTTGTCTATTGCAGGATGAAGCAGCAGATGATACATATAAAAGATATCAAAAAATAAAGAACCAAACAATTGTGCTTCTCATTCAATTATACTTGATTGAAGAACATGGAGCTATGTATGTTTATAACTCATAGCTATCTCCTATTAAACATTAATTTTGGAATATATGAGTTCTTCACACAATGTTTACCAATAAATATCATTTTCAACAGTTTTCATCCAATGGCAAAGACAATAAGGAGTTGCAAAAGCATAACAAAAGTTGCTTTTGATCATGCATTTCTTGACAACAACCAGTTCAAACTCTTGATAGGTGAAGAATGAGAGAAAATTGAATCAGATGATTGAAGTTACAATTTGATGACTATCATTAATTGCATAAATATTATGAGTTTTTCTCAATCATATATTTCATGACATTTTCCTTCTTACATGTTCCCTGTGTTTGAAATAATTGTGTGTGTGCGTCTATATGCTTTTCACACTATTGCTTTAACACAATATATTATTTCTGATCACAAATACTATTCATAATCATATAGCAAAATTGGTTTAATGACAGTCATTTTCCGATCCAAAAATAAATTGATATTATTTACTTCAACTATCTATCATTGACATCATACTTATCACAATTCATCGATGTCAACTATATCCTAATGAGTTAAATAATTTGATTTTGTCACAAATTATTTTACTTAACCCATATGGTGCACGGGGTTTTTATTAGTCCAAATAGGATTACTTCTCTTTTGGCCAAGAAAATAAATAATGCGTTTTATGAGTTGGAGTCTCTTCTTATATGCACAAAATTGAATATCCCAACCTGCTATCATCTATTCAATTAGTCAATCCAGTTTAAATAACTGCAAAACATAATGTGAAAATTTATTTATTATAACTTTTTGCCTTGGTCATCAATTTAAAATTGATAAATGTTATTAAATTAATATTTTGACACTTAACTATCATTCTTCCTGCGCGTTTTAATCTCGGGCCCACCACTAAGTTTTTATTTGACTTGTAATTCTAGTGGGGAGCCGCGACCCACCACTATCTATGTGTTCTCCCTAACATCATGAACTTTTGGTTTTATCCTATAAGAGTGGTCACAGACCAAAAATTTAGATAAAGAAAATCCATTAAAAATAGTCATTGTTGCTTTGAAAGGTCTCCTTACTTTTTAGCAGTGTAACCTAAATCCCAAGGATGCCCAAAGTCCCTAACTAGCTCAATATAGCCAAAATAAAAACTCGCATGGTTTGCGTACAAATTTCTGATTTTTCAGGATACGTTAGATACGATGGATTTGGAGGAGAGAGGAGGGAAAAAGAAAGATTTTAATCATTTCTTTTTGTTTGACAACACATAAATTTTAGAAGGGGAGGAAAAATTCTCCTCCTCACCCTCCCCTCCAAAATTGGAAGGATTTGAAGGAAAAAGACAATATTTTACCATGTTGTGACTATTATGTTCATATTTATTTTTAATATCCCTATACTATTTTAAATTTTTTTTCTTGTCTCGAGACGCTACTCTCTCCTTTGCATGACTAAATATTCATTCAAAGATGAGATACAGTAGAAGTTGTGACTGAACATTACTTTAGCTTTCTTTTCAATAATACTTCACACTCTAGAATATATTAGAATTTTGGTATAAATATTGCTCAATATATTAAAATTATATTTACAATTCAATTTTATTAAACATCCTATCAAATTTGGAAAAAATAATTTTAAATAAAATAAGAGCAAAATTGTTTATGTCAAAATATTTTCCCCTTCCCTCCTCTTATGAACCAAACAAGGTAATATTAAAACTCCTCCCCTCCCCTTTCTTTTTATAAGTCCAAACAAAGTAATATTAAAATCATTCCACTCTTCTCCCATCTCCTTCCCTCTATTAAAATACCTCCCCTCTCCTTCTAGCCAAACAAACCCTTGAAGTTTTCAATATAATTACTACCTTATTTAAACTCTCTTAAATCATTATTTAAGCAAAAAAATTATCTTAATATAATTTTGACTGAATTATAAAATTTATTTTTTAAATTTTATAACTCAATTCTTGAATTTTAACTCACTATATTTGAGTTCTTATAATTTTAACTATATAAAATTGTAATCTCTAAATTTCATAAAATTATAACTTCATTTTTTAAAATATAAGGACTACTTTTTCAAATGGCTAAACTATAGTTGCATTTGAATTAAAAATAAGAATTAAGTTGTACCAAATTAAAATTTAAAAACCAAATTATACAAAGTTAAAACTACATAGAAACCAAAAGATTAGTTGAATTTTTTTTGAGGAGAATTCCAAAATATACCTCTCGAATTTCAAAACCCCAAATTAAAAATTACTAAAAAAATGTATTGTCATTTATTTTTTAAGTATAGTTAATTACTATTAAAGTGTAGTAAATAAGACTAATTTAAAATTTTAAAATTCAAAAAAAAAAATTTAGATTGTTTTCCCTTTTTTCAAATATATCTATAACTCAGGCTACTTTGTGAAAGGAGGAATTTATGTCCTTAAGGTTACATACTTTCGTAAGCTTACATACTTTTATCCAAATAAACTATAAATAGATTTAAAGTTTAAAAATAAAATAAAAGTACTAATAACTGAAATCGGCTGCATAACAAATTATTGATAATAAGATAGAGTTGTTTTAGTTTAATCAGTGCAGAGTAATATAAGCTTTAAGCAAATGACTATTTTCCATTTGAAAATATCTCATTCTTTTGCCAACAATTTGAAAATGTCTGATTACAGCAAAGCCATTTATTGCAAATTTCATCAATATAAAATCTTTCAAAAATTTCTAATAATTAGGAGGAAAAACTTAATGTCTTATACATATACTCTTTTAAAGATTCAAAATCAAAAGATAAAATTTCGTTCCCTTTCATTTCATACTCAGCAAATATTTTGTTAAACGGAAAAAAACTCAAATATTATCCTCTTTCAACTCTTAATATAAAACATATTTAACTAATTTGATTAGATTAAGAAAATTAAGTAAGTTAATTATAAAAAATATGACATATTTTTCTCAAAACACCATAATCATCTTCCTTAATGTCATCTCTCCCTCTTCTGCTTGATTATGGTTAAAAGAGTATCTATAGAGATAATTTAAAAAAAATTAATAAATATGAAAAATAGGTTTTATATTTACGATCAAAATCAACTCAATAATTAAGTCTTATGTTAAAAACCAGGAGAGTACAGACTATTCAGAAATAGCATTGATATTAGACACATTAATATAGGGGGGAAGTCAATAAAACACATTAAAAGTATTTTAAAAATTAAGGCTTTTAAATGGCTTTTGCCGTAAAATACCAGCACCGTGTTTAACGGGCAAACAGGAATTGAATCAAAAGTATGAGTCAAGACACTTCACAAACCATCAAACTGGGTAGATGAAATTCAAATGCAGATTATTATTACATTGATAGCAAAATAACATTAACAATAACCAAATTAAATTAAAACAATTAAACAATATTCTAATTCAACAAATTCTAATCATATTAATATATTAAAATAGTTACCCTGTTTTGCGTCCTGTATAATTTAATTTACCGACAATGAAGGTGGGTGAAAGTTAAGAATCATTATGTATTTTTATAGAAGCAGTTCAATCTCAATAATACTATTAAAGGAAAAAAAAACAACACTTTCTCTTTCTTGTACAGAAATTGGTTTTTGAAATGAAAAAAAAAATGCAAAAATTGGAAAAAGAATCTATCTTTTGTTCAAATAAGAAGGGGAAAAAAAATGAATGTGCAGGAACCAGGAGGAGGAAGAGACAACACATGGGAAATATCACCGTCCAAGGTCAATACTCATCCAGATCAACGGATGTGGTTGGCTCTCCCAAAGTCAGCAAGCTTCCTTGAGCGGTTTGCACAAAACGACGACGCAGTGGACAGGTGAGGCTTCGCCGCCGTCGTGCCTCTCATTTCCCCCGCCGAAACCACCTCTGGAGGCAATCCCTTCGGGTTCCAGTGAGGGTTGGGGCTCGCCCTCACCAACGGACTTAAGCAAAAAGCCATGCCTGATACGTTCCTTACGTGGCGGGAACGACGGGTCCCACACGGTGCCGTCGATGGCGTTTTCCGCCACCGTGGGGACGTTTCCGCTGAGTAGCCACCGGCTGAAGGAGATCGGTCGCATCGATCGCAATCGACGACACAACTTTCGTTTGTCACCGGCGACATTCCCCGATCTGCTTGCCGATACCGCCTCCTCCCTGGGGCGGTCGAACTTTCCAGAGGGTTCATCCTATCCATTTTCTTCCGGCGAGTGGGAAAGATCATCGAGAACCATGAGGGAGACGACGATGACGATGGTTCGCATGATTCCTGAGAAGAAATCCTCGGATTCGCCTCGAATTTATCGGATCTGGATCCAAATAGACTTGAGAAAATCCAGAATCTCCCAGTCTTCTTCTTGAAAGACGAGCTTGTTCTGCCAGGGAATCCTGAATTGGCCTCAGAATTGCCAGTACCGAAGGTAGGGCCAAGCTGAGGCGTGCTATAGAAGAGACTGTTGTGTCTGTCACAGCTCTGCCAGCTGGCATAGTCCGATTTCCGCCGAGAGACGTACGGCGAGACAGAACGAGGAAAGACGAGCGGAGGAGGGTTAGGGTCGGATTTTCGAGGGTGATCGTCGGAGGACCGTGAGGAAACGCGCGCTAGATGTGCCTTCTCTTGTGCTTCGATGAGTGCGAGGAGACGCTCCCGGAGACAAGAGGCGCAGACGCCGATGGTGCTGCTCAGGTCCGCCCGGTGGTGCTTCCGACACCTCATCTAGCCCCTTTGCTTTGTCCTGAACAACACAACACAGAGATCACCTGCTTCAATACGACGCCGTTTTAAAGTACAGTACCAGTGGTGGAGCTTCTGATAGCCCACCGTGAGGTGAAAGAGATCTGATGGAGAATTCGAAAGGCAAGTTTGTCTTGTTGCTACGCGAGTGAGAGAGAGAGAATAGTGGGGGAAAGAGGGAGTCTCGACTCTCAAGTTTGAAGCATGAGATGGCATCTTTATTAAATTTAGAGAGAGAAAGGCACTAATACTTGCCTTGCCTGTCGAAATAAATATACACGCGCCTGTTGAATGCGTATGCTTCTCATAACTTGAAGTAGAAATTACATTAGAGCGTCGGAGGACATTTTGTACTTAATATAAAAATTAATTATTAAATTGATTTCGGAGGACATATTTTTTATATTTATTTTTTTAAAATTATTTCTATTGATTTTTTTAATTATAATCAAGTAAGAGAGGATAGAAGGATATTAAGAAAAATAATTATAATATTTTAAAAAAAACATTTCTTATAAATAACTAACTTATCTAATTTTCTTAATCTAATCAAATTAGTTAAATAGTTTTTATATTAAGGACGGGAGGGGTAGAATTAAAAAAAAATTAAGAGTACCATGTAATTTTATTGCCAAAAAATGATTACATAATTTGAATAGCAATTAAAAAAAAATATAATTGCCTCTAATAGAAGGATACATGTGCTTACATAAAAAAGAAATCGATACTCCATCTATCTTAAATATAAGATATAGTTAAAATGTTTCTTATCTTAAATATAGAATTTCAATATTCATAGTCTCTCTCATTTAATTTTTTTCACATTATTTTCTTAACTTCACAGTATTTTTATGGAAAAAAAACTTAGTTCAATCTGCTTATATCAATTATATCAATTTCTCCAATCACATATAGCTATGTGTCTTTTGTTTTTGTTCACGTGAATCTATAATTAAATGCCTTTAAATATTAATATTTCAAAAATGGGACGCATGATCATATTTGACAAGAGAACTTGACACAATGAATATAAAACACTTGACATGAATATTATACTATTTTTATATAACTAAATAATGTTAAATGACCAACTGTTATCAAAATTTATAATTTTCATATATTAGTTAGCTACTTCTTATATTTAAAATTAGAAGAAGTGTTTTATATAAGCAAATTGCTGAAGATAGGTTTTTTTAGGGAAAACCATTTTGATAACGATACTAACTTGGCAAAGTTAATTAAGATAAAAATAATGTAGGTATTAAATTAAAAATTAAGAAAAAGTACAAGTATCTCAAAAATGGTTTTCTTTTTTTATAAGCAAATGTACAAAAAAAAATTGATATCTGTTTCAAACGTATTTTGAAAAATTCCCCTCATTAATCACTCTTCACTAAATAACATTATTAAATTAGGAAAAACCGTAAGTATTAGTCATAAAGGCATTTCGGTAAAATAAATAAATAAATAATTGAGACATAATTATTAGGGTAAACTAAATATTTTTTTGATATATTTAAACTAAATATTTTATACCAAATGGGTTAATTAAAATTTCTTTATATTTAAAGACGAAGGGAGTAACTACTACCTCCAATAGATTTTATTAATTTTGATCCTATCTCTAACATTTTTTTCAAAGTATTTATTATAATTTTTCTTTTTTATCCTCATCAAAAAGAAGAATGATATTCGTGACAAATTAAAAGTTATTTATCATTTTTTTAAATGAGGGTATTTTTGAATAAAAAATATGTATATATAAGATTTATTGCCTAGAACTAATTTTAATCATATTTATTAGGTTTAATAATTTAGTTATTTGTTTCTTATTAAAAAGATCGGTAATATTAATATCTTATCATCAAGACAAAAACTTCCCTAATGGATTATTAGTAAGTTTTTCAGTAAATTCTCATTGAAGTTGTGAGAGTCCTTAACACTTTTAATTCTAATGAGATCTGAAATTCATCAGATTCGTTTAGATTAAAATATGTGCCTAGAAGTTTAACTAAATATTATCCCCTCCTTTTCTAATATAAAGAACAACAACTAAAATTATGCAGTTCAAAATGCTAGTTAAATTTAATTAAAAATAATAAATGTGTAAGATATATACATATTTTTTAATGATATTTTTATTTGTAAAGAGAGTACATGACAGATAATAGGTAAAAATTTATTACTGAGATATGATAAATGACATATATTTAATGGGAGTAAAAGTAAAAAAAAAAATTTAAATTTTATACAAAAAAATTTTGTTTCTTATATATTTAGAGATACTGCTATGAGAGAGGTTATAAAAGGGAGGGAGGGAGTATAGAACTAAGGGGGGAAAAATAGTAGGCTGACCAAAAAATAAAAGGAAAAAAAAATGGTTTGGAGCAAAGTTGTCAAACTCGTGAGTTTAAACAAACTCGTGAGAATGATATAAACTCGGATCGTAAACTTGAATCGTGAACTCATAAGAGTTTACTTTTATTAATTAACTAGTATTAACAGTATATAATCAAATCATTAATATATAAAAAATGAGAATAATTTCCTTTAAATATATTTTAAATTTAAATAATTGAAATTATATCCATCAATGTTCATAATTTTATCACATTCAACCAAGAAATTTTTATAAAATTCATATATAAAGTCACTAAACAAAATCAAATCCAAAAATTTAGCACGAGTTTAAGAGTAAGTTAGCACTATTTTGTAAGCTTAAAACGTAAAAATGGTAAATTCAATAAATAAACTCGTAAATTTAATCAAGTTTATAGTTATCATGAGTTCAAGAGTAAATTAACACGATTTTATTAACTGAAAACGTAAAAATATTAAATTTGGAGAGTCAACTCACGAGTTTGATAACAGTGGTCTAAAGATAAAAAGCAAAGACACTATTTCACATACATCAAATGAATTAGGAAGAATGACAACTAAAAACTTTATAAAAAGATTAATACTAAAGCAGGATTTTATAAAGATTTTTAGCGCTAAAATATAGAAAAAAAATGAAGTATTGAATTTAAAAACTTAAATTGAGATGCTACCATAATCTACTTAATACTCACTCCTATCATTAATATAAAAGCTATTTAATTAATTTGACTATATTAAACAATTAAATAAATTAGTTAATTATAACTAATGTGACTTGACCTCTCTAAAAAATCTTTGTCTAATACTAGATTATATATTAATTTATAAGTTAAGTCAATTAGTTTTAAAACTTAAAATGAATTGGGATCTTATATTTATATTTATACTATGAAAAATTTATGTAGTATTTTAATTATTCCCTTACCTTAATATTGTCTCTTACAATTGCCTCTCACACGCACCATATTTGTCATGTTATACTATATGGGCGCATAATTTATGACAAAATTTTAATTATTATGATTTGAAAACTCAATGTATGAGTGTTGACTTTGATCCCACGATCAAGATGAGATAAATATAATGATTAATTGATGCAAGAGCCTCACCCATTTCTTGCCTTATCGGCATCTAATTATTTGTTGGTTGAATGTGTGTGGCCAGGGTGGGTTTAACTTTTCTAACCCTATTTTAATATTATTATTAGTTGATTAATACTAATGATAATAAATCATCATTTTCTGAAAATTCATCATCCAATCATTTCTTCATTACGTGTCCTTGCAATTTAAAATAGGGGAAATACAGCTTTTAATTCCTAATTTCTTCGTAATTATTAATTTAGTTCCTAAATTATGATTAATTGCAAATCCGCCCTTATAATTTATTAAGCTAATGATAATAGGGGCTGAACTGTTCTAATTCGATAAATAAAAATTGAGTTCTATCGAGTTGGAAAATTGTAAAAATCCAATTTTATTGATTTGAATTTTAAAGACTAAATTAATAATTGAAGAAAAGTTTAAAATCAAAATTATAGTTTTCTTTGACAATAATGGAAATGTTTGGGGGGTGATGAGAGCGTGATTTGCACGCTCCACATTGCGCCTTGATTCAGTCAAGAAGTCAAACTTCGGCTTTTCGTCATCATGTGCCCATCATATTCTCTCTGTCTACATCCAACGGACAGTATTACGCTAAAGGAAAACACGCGCCTTTAACCAGGGGGAACATTTTTAGTTTTAAATTAGAAGTAAAGAAGGTAATATACTCCTCCGATTCTTAATATAAAACTCATTTAACTAATTTGATTATATTTAAAAAATTAGATAAATTAATTAATTATAAGAAATATAACACATTTTTTCTAAAATACTATAATCATCTTTATTAATATCCCCTCTTTCTCTTCTACTTGATTATAGTTGAAAGAGTATTCATAAGGGTAATTTAGAGAAAATTGATAAATATAAGAAATGGATTTTATATTTAGAACCAAAACCAACTCAATAATTAGTTTATATATTAAGGATCAGAAAAGTATATAAATAATTTTTTCTTAATTTTTTTCTTCATCTAGCCTCAATCTAGTGTATTTGTATGTTCATTCAAAATGCTTTTAAAAGACTAAGGACGTTGAGTCTAGTGGGAAAAAAAAAAAAAGTTCTCTTACAACTTAGTGAATTAAGTTCGAATTTTTATTAAAAGAAGTGTCTATATTTAGTGTCGACAGTATCTCAAATAGATTTGTCTTCCATTGAAGAATACATATACATACTAAAAAAATACATTTAAAGGCATAAAAAATAATTTTTTTTGAAAAAATAATAAATAATAAAATAACATAATGTGCATATAATAAAAATGTTTCCATCTTACTTTTATTATGTCAAACATAGAATTTTGGCTGGTCAAAAAAAATATGAAAATTTGAAATTTTGAGCAAAAAAATTGTCATCAATAAGAGGGTATCTGTTAATTGTTTGTCCTGGGCAAAAAAAATCAACACATGGTGGTTGTTTTCGTTGTTCTGCTTGGCATGCATAAAAGAGAACATTATTTATTTTGAAATTTCAACATTTGAAATAAGAAGGAAGATCAGTCTTTGGCTTTTGCTGAGATTCTATTTCCTTCTTTCAGTCTTGTTTAATTTTCCCAACAAAACATCAAATATTTAGTATTACTCACTAATTTAAGTTTAAATTTTAGACGGGTTTAATATGCTACCTTCCCTTTTCAATATAAGAATTAATTGGGCTTTAGATTTAGTCCTAAATATATAAGAACTTAATCTACTTTAATTTGTCTCTCAAAATTTGTAATTTATTTTTTAAAATATTCCTATTTGTTATAGATATTAAAATAAGTTTCTATTCAATAGTAGTTATGATTAATAAAAGA